CAGTTGTGGTCCCGGAGCACCTGCCTGTGGGACAGAGGGGACCCCACCCCGGCTGTCAGGGTGGTTCTGGACCCACTACATGCCCCATGCCAGGGTTCCTGCCATGGCAGGTCCCTGCAATGCCATGACATCCCTTCCGCGCTGTCCCTGGGGGCTGCAGTGCCCCTGATCCTGCAGCACCTCCAGCCATTGCATCCTCCAACACCACCCTTGGTGCCCAGATCCCCCATCTCCATCCCCCTTGTACCTGCAGCCATATCATCCCCCAACGCCATCCTGGGGTCCATGGAGCCTGAGATCCCCATTCCCATCCTATCCCCAGTGCCATCCCTCGGTCCGTGGTGCCCTGGGTCCCTCAGGTGCGGCCCCACCCCGCAGTGCCCCTCACCTGTAATCCTCCCGTGTGGCAACGAGGCTGGAGACGTTCCTGAGGATGCCACCGCCGCTCTCGATGATGGCCAGGGAGTTGCTCTGGCACTTGTAGGTGAGGGTGCTGACCAGGAAGCCCAGGGCCCCCTCCACGCTGCAGATGGCCGCCTTGTTCTCCGTGCTGTGCGCCGAGAGGTTCCACAGCGCGCTCAGGACGCTCTTCAGCGTCGACTCCTGTCCCGGGAGGGGACACACAACTCCTGTCAGCCCTGTCCTGTCACCCTGTGCCTGCTGTCACCCACTCCAGGGGCACACAAAGCCCTGCCAGGTCAGTCTGTCACCACGCCAGGCTCACCTTGCCAGCGTGCAGGGCACAGCGCATCAGCCCGGTGACGCTGCCCACCTCCCGCAGCACCTTCTTGCTGTTGATGTCAGCGCGCCAGGAGAGGTTCCTCAGGATGCTGGAGACCACCTGGAGAGGCAGAGAGGGGTGAGTGGGCACAGGGACTGTCCCCTTACCTGTCCCCCACCCCAGGGAGCCCCACCAGCACCCACCTGGTGCAGCTCCTCACTGTCGGAGCCCAGCTGAGCCACGATGGCCTCCATGCAGCCCCGGCGGGAGCACAGCGTGGCCTGTGGGAGGATGAGGATGGTGAGGGTGATGCTGCGACCTCCAGATCATGCTGATCCCCCCTCCCAGACCCTGCTGATTCCCCCCAAACCGCCCTCCCCACCTTGTTGACCACATCCCCGAAGGTGAGGTTGGTGAGGGCCATCCCCGCGTAGCGTCGCAGTGCCAGGTTCAGGGGGTCGTTGGTCATCTTGTGCATCTCATAATCCACCTGCAGCAGCTCGGCCACGGCCTGCAGCCCACCTGTGGGACGAGGAGGGGGTCGTTTGGGCTTCCCCCACCTCCAGCAGCCCATCTGGGGCTGTGCAGAGGGAAGGAGCTCCCTCCCTACACTCACCCAGCTCGTTCATGGCCCGCCGATACTCCTCGTCGAAGGAGAGCTTCATGATGGCACAGGTGGCCTGGCAGATCTGCGGCTCGATGGGCACTGGCACTGC